CTTGTTTAGACCAGTGCTTCTCAACCTTCCTGACGCTGCGACCCTTTACTACAGTCCCTCATGGTGTGCTGACCCCCCCCATCCATACAATGATTTTCATCGCTACTTCATAACCATAATTCTGCTACTGGGATGAATTGTATTGTAAATATTTTGGAGGATAGAAGTTTACCAAAGGGGTTGTGACCCAGAGGTTGAGCACTACCAGTGTACAGGTTTATCTACAGCTCAACATCTGCTGGAATGTGGGCACAATTCTGCCAGATCTGATTATTTTAAAAGAAAAAAATACATATCTGAATTTGTGTGAGAAATCCTTTCATTTTTATACTTTTAGGCATCTTAAAAGACAAACAAATAAAGTGCAGATGTGCTCAACACAGCTGGAGATCAGAGCTGTGTGGTGGTATTGTGTTCCCCAAAATATTGTGCACCCTAATAATCTATCTGGGGTCAGAGAACAGAACAGCCACTAGCTATAGAGGCCAGCAAATGGTGGCACTCACGCCTTTAATCCTAGCATTCCAGAAGCAGAGATCCATCCAGATCTCTGCGAGTTTAAAGCCACACTGGAAACAGCCAGGCATGGTGACTCACGCCTTTAATCCCAGGAAGTGATGGCAGGAAGCAGAAAGGTATATAAGGCGTGAGGACCAGGAACTAGAGCCTGCTTAAGCTTTCAGGCTTTTGAACAACAGTTTGGCTGAGATCCATTTTGGATAAGGACACAGAGGCTTCCAGTCTGAGGAAACAGAATCAGCTGAGAAGTTGGCAAGGTGAGGCTAGCTGTGGCCTGTTCTGTCTCTTCGATCTTTCAGCATTCATCCTAATAGCTTGCCCCAGGTTTGTTTTTATTAATAAGAACTTTTAAGATTCGTGCTACAGAGCTGCCCCAGGCTCAGGAGTTGCAAGCTCCTTCCTAAGGAACCTCATCCCAGCGGCCTATGTGATGGGCACGTGGATGAATGAGAAGAAGGATCTCTATCCTTCTGGTGTCTTTCCTTTTCCAACATGTCTTGGACCTGGTTGCTAGAATGCCCTCCATGAAACAGTCATTAAATAATGTTCCTGTCGAAACTCCAGATTCTCATTCATCGTTCACTTACCTTGTTAAAGGACAAGCCAAGCCTCCCTAAGCCAGAGCTCTGAAGTTTTAAATTCTCTCAGACCCAGAACTTCTTGAGCACCAGCATAATGCTACAAATGGGAAATTCCACCCATGGCCTCCCGGGATGGGTCACAGTGAAGACACAGGCAAAACCAAAGAATCGTACAAAATGACCTCTGTGTGGTGTGCACATTATTTATATGAAATATACATGAATGCTGCATTACAACTTGAGTCCCATCTCCAAGACAGATAATATTGTATATGAAAACATTCAAAAACCTGAAAAGTGTCTGAAGTTGGGCACACTTCTGGTCTCACCCAAGCCTTTCAGGGAAGGCCTATCTGACCTCTACAAGCCTACCAACAATGGCCTCAGCCCACTCTGTCCATGGGCCTCAAGCTTCTTACGTGTTTTCTCATTTACCAGTCCTTTAACCTGATTTTGTTCACAGACTTCCCCTGGGCCAGAATGTTTCCCTCTTCATCTGGGTAACACCAGACCAAGCTCCACCCTCCCTGTTAGTTGTGATAGTTACAACTAACTTCTCCTCTGACACCTTCAGAGGAAGGGGACATGATTAATTCCTCTCTTTTCCATCTTCCCAGGTGGCCTTAAAAGGTATGTATGTATGTATATATGTATGTATGTATGTATGTATGTATGTATGTATGTATGTAT